CAGAGTTTGTTGTCCTGTGGAGGTTTCAGGAAGTAGTGTTTTCTCTGGTTTTTCTGTACCTTTAAGTATAAGACATAAAGACTCATGAGACTTGAGAGGTTTTTCTGTTAAACTGGATATTTTATAAATCACCCATTATGGACATATACCATTTTTTTTATCACATTGTTCCAGAATGTAGGGCTGTAAAGATTTAGTTATTTATTGACTGGAATTTCTATTAACAGAGACTGTACCTAGTCATAAATAATACTCCAGTAAGTGTCTTTGTGGTAACATTTTGTTTCCAGGACCATATTTAGAAAGATAGTAATGGAAACTGGTCTAATGCACCTCCTACTTTCTACATATAAGGCATAAAAACCAAGATTTAATTTCTTCAGTCTCTGAACAATGTTTAAATTAAAATACACATGCCTTCATGCAATCAAGAATTGTCAAAATTGTTGCATATCCTATGTACACATTTCTGCAACATTACAAAGAGGATGAGTAGCCTTCTGTCTATTTCACATAGCTTCTTGTTCTTCTTCTTAATCCAGTGCTTATCCTTACAATTTTCCTTCTCAGTTTGTCTTCTAATCCCATGCCAAAACATCTTCCAGTGTTCGCCCACAGTGATAATCTTGTTATCTTTTTTCAACCCTCACTTCTCTGTATTACCACATCTGAAATGCCCAAGAAACTTGCTAGCCTATCAGGTCTTCTTTAGAGAGAAAGGGAGGGAAAATGTTTTAAATGCCCAATGTGCCTAAATATACATACTGTTGAAAGTGCATGTCAACAACTTGTACTGTCTTCAGCAACTTTATCTATCTATCTATCTATCCATCCATCCATCTATCTATTTATTTATTTTTATTATTATTTTTTCCTGCTCCCTGACCCCCTCCAAGCGTGCTCCTTGGGCTCTCTCCCCATGCTCCCTTGCCATCACTAAACAACTTTGTTTTAGTATAAAGAATTTGGGAGTACACCTTATAATATGAGAGAATTTATGAGGACCCAAGTGTAAATTGACTCTGTCTTCTCTAGAAATATGTAGGGTTTTTTTTTCTGGGGGGGTACCCTGTCTTATATTAAGATATATAGTTATTTTTATTTCATTTTACTTTCCTGGAGGACCTTTTTTGTGGACAGTCCCTTGACCTACAATCCAGAACTTTCCCTTCCTACTTTACTTTTTTTAATACTGGGAGTAGAATGAATTCTATTTCTTTTTAAACATGTGAGGTCCTGAGCTCAGCACAATCCTTTTTTTTTTTTTTT